GGACACTAAGAAGAGGTAACTATGGGGAGGAAGTGTGAGGGGAGCTGTTGCATTGTGGTAAACTGTGGTCAACGTCATGAGACAAAGTATATGTAAACTGCTGTATGGAAAGTGAATTTGCTCTGTAAATCTTCACCCAAATCACAATAAAAATAATAATAAAAAAAGAAAACAACAACAACAAAAAGAAGATACCAAAAGAGAAACTGAAAACATGTCCAGCAAAACGCAAACACTAGAGTACGTACTTATGTTAGTTATGTGGCATAATATTTTGCAGCATTTTCATGGATGAGTGAAACTTCCAGATTCAGAAGTTAAAAACAGGCACAGATGTCACCAGTCATTAACAGGGTATTTAACATAATTTAAGAGAAGATTTTAAATTTTTGAAAACACAAAAAACAAACACTACCAAATATTGATTATCAAGCAGTTCACTGCTGTAGAAACATTAGAAAGAAATAAGTTGATGACAGAAGTACTCCAGAAATACTGAGCAGTAGAGATCAATTTTGTATAACCACATAATACACCATCATTGACACACTTGAATCTTGAATGAAAAGAAGGGTGAAAGTGTGTGAAGTTCTTTCAAACTGATTTTCCTTCTTAAACAATGTGGATCTACCTGATGAAGAACACATGAAAGCAGCCAACAAATTAGTACAGGCTTTCCTCCTGTTGACTTCAATACAAACCTTTACAGAGAAGCGTAACAATTTCATTAATGCACGAGAACTAAGTTTACAAATAGAGGAAAGGCAAATATTACTCATGTAGGCATATGTTGTTGTTGTTATGTGCCATTGAGTCAGACTCGACTCATAGCAACCCCTCCCTGGGTTTCCGAGGCAGTATCACTATGGAAGTAGATTGCCCCATCTTTTTTCCGAGGAGTGGCTGGTGGGTTTGAACCACCAGCCTTCTACTTAGCAGCCAAGTGCCTTAGGCATTACGCTACCAGAGCTCCTATGTAGGCATATACAATTCCATAAAAGAAGATAAAATACAATGGGTATTTTCCAAAGTTGTTTCATGCATATTCCTAACTTTAATGATCACAAACTGCACAAAAGAACGCTCATTTCTGTCCCTAAAGAGACTCAAAAGCCTCATTCACCCAAGACTATTGCCCTGAGATAATCTTTAAACCTTAAATCAAATATATCCCCTGAAGTCATCTTAAAACCAAACAACAGTTTAGCTCAAGTACTAAAACGTCTGCCTTGAGTATTATGCTGCTTTTAGAATTATCTATATGGGATCAAATTGACAAGAGTAACTCAAAAGCTTAGATAGCAACCTCAGGAGGCAGTGAGTTTACAGTTAGTTAAGTATGGGACAACTTAGAAAAGGAAGGTGAGAATGGCTGCACTCGAAGATTGTAATAGTTGTCACTAAACTGCACATGTAGAAACTATTGAATTGGTCTATGGCTTCCTGTGTATATTCTCAACAACAACAACAACAAAATAAATAAATAAAATTCAGGAAAAAATAAAAAAATATTATTAAAAAAAAAAAATCTTGACTCCATATCCCAAAGAATAATTCTGAGTTGAGGAATGGTCTATGTTTACTGACATAACAAGAAAAGGAAAGAAAAATACTGTATGAAAGTATTCAAATTATTAAGAAGTCTGGATTCCATGGAAATCTAAAATTCTGTTATGTATTTTCCCACTTTTTATCAGGAATCTTCTATAGAATCAAGATACTCAGTAGGCAGCCAGGCCTGGCACCATCCAGTTCTTCTGCTCTCAAGGCAAAGGGGTAGTTGTTTTGATTGTGTTGACTGAAGGCAATCAGCCACACATTCCATGTCCTTCTCCTATTCCTGACTCTCCTACTGCTGCTGCTCCAGGCAAATAGAGACCAACTGTTGTACCTGGATGGCCACTTGCAAGCTTTTAAGACCCCAGGCACTAAGCAGTGAACTAGGAGGTAAAACAAGAGCAGTAAACACAGTATTAGGCCAATTAACTGGGATAGCCCATCAAACCATAACCCTAAACCTACTAAGGAACCAAATATCATCAAGTATGTGGTTGTACCTAAGCAGCCTCAGCAGCTATGAACCCCTGAAACTATTAAGTGAGATATTCTTTAAACCTTAAACCAAAAATATTCCGTGAAGTCTTAAAACCAAACAATAGTTTAGCTTAACTAATAAAGAGTGTCTGCCTTGAGCACTGTGCTCTTTGAAGATCTATCTCTATGGGATCAAACTGCCAACAGCAACTCTTCAGAGATTAGATAAGAGCCTTCAGGTCTGTGAGTTTATGTTAATTGGAGAGGAACAACCCAGGAAAGAAAGGTGAGAATGGTTGCACAAATGGAAGAATATAACTGATGTTACTGAATTGTACATGTAGAAACCGTTGAATTCATGTATGTTCTGCTGTGTAGATTATCAACAACTACAAAAACTATTTCTAAAAAAGGTCATTCAAAACGGTGGTAGTTAAGTTTGTGTGAACTTGGCTAGGCCTGGTTGAGTGGCTGGGCAGCTGGATGTAGTATTCCCCATGATGACACTGGTAATCAACTCCATGGTGGAATCTACTATGAGCAAGTGAGTAGCTGCCTTAGGGATGTGGTCTGCTTCCTGTATATAAGGAGAAGCCTTGGGGAATGGTCTCTAGCTTATGGCACGCTTGGACTCTGCATGTAGCTATGTCGTTGTTCAGCAGCCTGCCATGCTCTGCTGACCATGGGACTTTCAATGGACTTGAATTAATGGCCTGCCATGTGGTTTGGTAACATCAGGAGTGTGTCTTTTTACTTGTCAACCTTGGGCTTGTCAGTCTCAGCAGACAGTAGCTGTCTGAGTGAAGAAAAGCCTCTAGCTCCGGTGGGCTGAGAGCAAGAGGCAGAGCTGAAGCCCAAGGTCGAGGGGCTTTCACCCAGCCCCTAGAGCCTGGCACTTTGAACTTGGACTTAAAGCCTCCAAACTGTAAGAGAATAAAGTCCTGTTTGTTAAAGCCATCCCATTTGTGGTATATTCTGTGAGAGTGGCACTAGGTAACCAGAAGAAAAACCGTAATCAACCAAATCAAGCACTGAATGTTTTTAAACCCTTGTATTCATTCTTTAATACAAAAATTTTATCAATGACTACAGGAGCTCTGGTGGCATAGACTGCTAACCAGAAGGCTGGCCATTCAAACCCACGAGCCACTCCTCGGAAGGAAGATTGGGCAATCTAGTTTCGTAGTGATACCGCCTCAGAAACTCAAGGGGTGGGGAGGAGTCATCATGAGTCGGATCTGACTCAACAGCAGTGTGTACAGAAGATAGTGGGTGCTCTGGAAGCTTAGAGGGCAAGGCATTTGGCTGCTAACCAGAAGTTCAGCCATTCAAACCCACCAGCTGCTCCATGGGAGGAAGATAAGGCAATCTACTTCAGTAAAGATTTACATCCTTGGAAACTTAATGGGGGTCCCTATGAATCAAAATCTTCAGAATGGCAGTGGATTTGGTTTTTGGTTTATAGAAGACAGGAATTTTGCAGTTCGCAAATAAACTCCAAAGAAAACCTATTCTAATGCTAAGGCAATACTGAGGCAGGCCATCTAACCAATAAGAAATTCTCTAGAAGTTAAACAAAAGTTTATTTTTAATATATGATTCATAAAGGTCTTTTCCTCTGAACAGTTTTCCAGGTAAAATGGTACGATGAAAGAAACACTGGACATGGAGTCAGAAATTTCAGGTTCAAATTCAGTCTGTCACTTAACATTCTATGACCTTGAAAAGTTACTTCACCTCCCAGCGTTTCACCTTCTGTACTCTCAAAGGAGGTTTAATCATTTCTTGCCTCACCCAGGTGACAATTTTACTGAGATTCAAATAAGAATACCTATGTATAAACATAAAAAGCACTAATAATTCTCACCTTGTTTGTGGTGTGATATTTTCTACTCAGCTGTATGTCTATTCCAGGAATCTGCTGTGATCCCCATGCTAGGGACTGGCTCATCTGGGGCCACTGGGAGGTAAAAGAACAGATGAAAGCAACAATGACCATTTGTTTACAGAGTTCATCTGAGCAGAGCTGCTTCAAATCGAAGACTACAGGACCTTTCCAACCTTGTTTATTAACTCAGTTCTTGGTGATCTGATCACCAAAGTATCAAAGATCAGTACCTAGAATGGTGTCTAGTATAGAGGAGGTGTTCAATAAATATCTGTTGAATAAACAGAAGGAGTCAGTCCTAGAAACCTGGAACTAAATCCGAGTCAATCTAGGAACCAGAATTGCAATAATCATTTACATTTTGGTAGCAGTGAATATATGGAAAAGAGCAAAGATTTTAACATCAGTAAATATTAAATTTAAAAGCTGTTTCTACCACTTACAAGCTAGGTGACCATGGGCAAATTACTAAACCTCAGTTGTAGTGAAGATTAAAGGAGATAACATATGCAAAGCACCTTTCACAGTATAAAAAAACTCCAAACTCACTGTCGTGGACTTGACTCAGTGACCCCTCCTTGGGCTTCTGAGGCAGTATCTCTATGGAAGTAGATTGCCCAATCTTCCTTCCGAGGAGGGGCTGGTGGGTTTGAGCTGCCAGCTTTCTGGTTAGCAGTCATATGTCTTAGGCACTACGCCACCAGAGCTCCCTTTCACAATGTAGAGATACTCAATAAATAGTAAAAGCCTCCATCATCATCATCATCATCAACAGTATGTTTTTGCTCAGATCAGAATTGGCTTCCTTTTATGTTCACACTGCATCTGAAAGCAATTTGCCAATATAGCCATTGTTTACAGTAATTATGTTACAGATACTATATATTAAGTGCCTTACCTATATTTCCTCATTTAATTCTCACCAAAACCCTATTACCCAAACCAAATCCACCTCCATCAACTTGATTCTAACTCTTAGCGACCTTACAGAACAGAGTAGAACTGCCCTATAAGGTTTCCAAGGCTGCAAATCTTTATGGAAGCAGACTGCCTCATCTTTCTCCCAAGGAGCAGCTGGTGAGTTCCAACCACCAACTTTTTGGTTAGTAACTGAATGTCTTAAAACCCTATTAGGCATTTGGAGGGGGGAAGAAAAAAAAGAAGGTAAACCTGGTCCAATAGAGACTGATGGAACCACTGAGACTATGGTCCCTAGCTGCCCTTCAGGTCTGGAATTGAACTCACACCTGTGGTTGCCAGCCAAACAAAGTACAGGCATGTGAGTTAAACATTTACCTCAAGTAGACACA